CTGGGGTCTCTGGGGATGCCAGCCTGTGTCCCAGGCACACGCCAGGAGGCAGGAATGTGGAAGCCCCTGCAGCCAGGAATTGCCTTTTCTGTCAGCTCATACATCCCTCCAGCACCTGCCTCCTGACTCCCTGGTCCCATGCTGTGCAGAGAGCCAATGGGTCTGACCCCTCAGAGGAGTCAGCCTCACTTCTCCCCGGCGGCCTTTCCCGGCGATCTTTAGGCATAGTGAATGCAGAGTTACAGTTCAGGAGGGAAGTTGCACTTTCCCACTCACTCATTCCTTTATCAGTCATTTCTTCAACAACAAAACCCTTATCAGACACATACTGATGCTGCAGATCAGCCCTTGGTTAGGTGCCAGCACTGCCTACTTTTGCACTTTACACATAGACAAGATGGGTGTGACCGAAGCAGCCACCCACCATGGACTTCAACAGGGGGTCTGGCTGCCAGGGTGTGTGGAATCACCAAGGCTTCCTGACCCACGATCTGGCAACAGTTTCCCCTTCCCTGCCTGTAAGCCACCACATTACTGGAACATGTAAAAGACACTCCTAAACCCAGGCTGGTGACCAGGAGGCCACAGAATGCAGCCCACAGCGGCCAGAACCTGGCACGAGGTTTCTCGGTCTCTGAGCAGGCCAACTATGGGTTCATAGCAGCGGGACTTTGAGGGTTTCTTAAATTTCCTGAGCTGGAAACAATGCCTGCTTCATGGAGTTGTAGGATTCAGTGGAGTCGAGTCTACAAAGCATTCAGCACTTTCCAAGTCTGTGGTCTCAGGTCAAGGCCAAGACACAGGGGCAGAGAGAGGCAGGACCCCTTTCTGTTCAGAGCCAGGCAAGGCCCTGCTGCTTGGCAGCCCTTGAGGGGGGCTCCAGCACCCCATCAGCCTTCTTACCCCAGAGCAGTGGGCAGGGTCACTGGCCACTCTGTGTGACAGTCCCCATTCCTCACCTGGAAGCATGAGGGGCCACCCGAGATGAGTGAGCCTGGGGGAGGGGGTGCCTAGGCGGTAGCCACAGCCACGGCCCTGGGCGACTGGAGCAGACGGGACACCCCCCCACACACACAGGCACAGAGGTCCACATGGGGGGTGCGGTTAGCAGAGCTCTCAGCTGCCGCATGGGTCTGGTGAGAGAAGCAGAGGGCGGGACGGGGGAGCCAGGGACCCCCACCCTGGGAGTGCTGCTCAAGGCAGGGAGAGCCAAGTTGGGAATTAGCTGGTTAGTCCAGCTGTGGTTTGTCCTTTCTTTAACTCCTTGGGACTTGTATTTCTTTATGTTTCAATCCTCCCGAGTTGTGAGAAAATTTCCAATATATTTCAATAATATTTTACCGAATGAAGTTTTATTTTTTTAATTTCTTTTTTTTATTGATTATGCCATTATAGTTGTTCTATTCCCCCCTTCATTCCCCTCCACCCTACCCCCCATCCCCACCATTACCCCCCTTTAGTTTATGACCATGTGTCTCAAGTTCTTTAGATTCTATATTTCCCATACTATTCTTTCCCCCCCATCAATTTTCTATCTACTGTCTACGCTACTTATTTTCTGTACCTTCTCTCCCCTTCTCCTCCTCCCACTCCCCTATTGCCAACCCTCCTTGAGATCTTCATTTCTATGTTTCTGCTCCTGATCTAGCTGTCCTCTTAGTTTGCTTTTGTTTTAGGTGTGGTTGTTAATAACTATGAGTTTGCTGTCCTTTCACTGTTCATGTTTTTTTAACTTCTTTTTCTTAGATAAGTCCCTTTAACATTTCATATAATAAGGGCTTGGTGATGATGAACTCCTTGAATTTGATCTTATCTGAGAAGCACTTTATCTGTCCTTCCATTCTAAATGAAAGTTTTGCTGGATAGAGCAATCTTGGTTGTAGGTCTTTGGATTTCATGACTTGGAATACCTCTTTCCAGCCCCTTCTTGCCTGTAAGGTCTCTTTTGAGAAATCCGCTGACAGTCTGATAGGAACTCCTTTACAGGTGACTGTCCCCTTAGCTCTTGCTGCTTCTAGGATTCTCTCCTTCATTTTAATCTTGGCTAATGTAATGATGATGTGCCTTGGTGTGTTTCTTTTGGGTCCAACTTCTTTGGGACTCTCTGAGCTTCCTGGATTTCCTGGAAGTCTATTGCCTTTGCCAGATTGGGGACGTTCTCCTTTATTATTTGTTCAAATAAGTTTTCCACTGGTGGCTGTTCCTTTCCCCCTTCTGGTACCCCTATAATTCGGATGTTGGAACGTTTAAAGATGTCCTGGAGGTTCCTAAGCCTCTCCTCATTTTTTTGAATTCTTGCTTCTTGACTCTTTTCTGTTTGGCCATTATTTGCTTTCTTCTGGTCCACTCCATTGATTCGAGTCCCAGTTTCCTTTTCATCACTATTGGTGTCCTGTGCAATTCCATTCATTTCGATTAGTTTTGCCTTCATTTGTTCGTCTAATTTGTGACTAAAGTCAACCAGTTCTGTGAGAATCCTAATCACCAGTGTTTTAAACTGTGCGTCTGAAAGTTTTGCTATTTCTTCATGGCTTAGATTTATAGGCTCTGGGGCTTTGAGATCTTCTTGAGCCACTTTTGGTCTGTTCGCGCCCGTTAAGTGTGAGGAGCGGAGCCTTGGACTCTCAGGTCGCTGGGTTGTGACTCGGTATGTGGGGGCGTGGTCAGAGCAGGGAAATGGCAGCCCCCTCTGCTGTTTCTCGCTGCTGGGTGAGGAGCAGAGCCCTAGGTGGTTCACCAGGGTGGGGCTACTCAGGTCGCTGTATGTGGAGGCGGGGTCAGAGCAGGGAAATGGCGGCACCCTGTGCTGCCGCCCGCCCTGGGGCCTGCTCAGTCCCGTAGTCTCACCGCCCACTTCCTTGCTTGTCTATCTGCGCAGGAAAGTGTGACCACAGTCAACCCGCAGCCTTGCTCCCCCGCTGTTTCCCCGCGGTCGCTCGCTGAGTCGCTTACTAGGTCCAACCCTGCGCCTGGGTTCCGCACGCCCGAGTCCGTCTGACCGAGTTTTCCTGTGCAACCCCGCTCCGACAGCTGCTGGTTTCGCCCCTTATCGGTCAGGCTGAAGCATTCGTTGTTATCAGACTTCCGAAAAGTTCAATTTTCTGTGTTCTGGCTGTGTTTTCTGTTGCTAATATTTAGTTGTCTCTAAACTTGGTTGTGAGAGAAGGCACGGCGTTTCCACCTATGCCTCCATCTTGGCAGAAGTCCCCGAATGTTTTATAATGCTCTCTGACTGAAACCCTTCCAGGTTCGTGTTCTTCAGAAGAAGAGTCTATGTCTGGGGGACGCACACACATGCAGACTGGTAGTGGGGGGTTGCGGGAGAGGCGGAGAGCTGAGTGTGAGACTAAGTTTTCACTATGACCTTTATACTCAAAAAATGCAGTACTAGCGACAGTGACAACTATAAAGAGGGGGTTCACACCCTGAGTTTAATTGCTTTCCACCACTTTCCACTGAACCATCTTTCCCACGTGTCTGTCTCCTGCGGACACTGCGAACAGGGTGAGCCAAGGAAGAACTGGTGGTGTCAGCCTGGGTTCTGAGGCTGGGGCTCTGACCGAGGTGGCCACCCAGCCTGCCCACCTGGAGCCCTGCTGAGTGGGGCCATGCTGCCTGCCCAGGGCCACTGGCACAGCTGGGGGCGATTCCTCTGAGTCCCCATATTTCCCACCAGGAACAAATTTTCATAACCCAGTATTTCCATGATATTCTCATTACTCTCAACCCTGCCAGCTGTCAGGGTCCTCTGCCACCCCACCCTTCGTGCCCATGGGGCTTATTGCTCACCTCCCCCCTGGAACCCAGCCTGGCATCCTCTCCTCCTGGTCAGGAGCGTGCTGGACTCAGCTTTGCTGGGGTGCACCCCTTCGCCTTGTTCCCTCTGCAGGGAGTGCTGTTGCCTTACCCCTCTCCCGGCTGACTGGGGCCAACCCCAGCCATCCCTCAAGGCCAAGCTCAAGTCCTCACTCCTCCAAGAAGCCTCCCTGCCTTCTGCCCAACTGCCATGCTTTCTCACACTGCCAGTAACTAGGGTCACTGTGGGATGGCACCACTGATAAGTGCCTCTTGTGGTTCGAGGTTTCGTCTCCCCAAGGGCCTCACAGTCTCCACGAGAGCCCAGCCCCCGCTCTGGCATTCTATGTGCCCACAGCCCCGCTTCCGGCTACCCACATCTTCCAGCCTCAAAAACAACTTGACTTGGAGTCAAATGACCTGGGTTTGACTTCTGGGAGCCTAATTTTGCACAGCTGTAAAGTGGGGTCGGTCTGCCAGCTCCAAGAGATGGTTGAAAATCAGGGCTCAGGGGAGAGCAGGCCGGAGGAGGGTCCATGGGTGTGAGAAGCAGCAGGAGGGAGAGGCCAGGCCACCTGAAGCCGCAGGAGCCCCTCAAAACAGGAACAATGGAATGGGGCTGAGGATAGAAGGGGGGCTTTGGGAGTGAGCCCAGCCTCACTGGAAGAAGATGCTTCTCCTTTCTCCCTCCTGCTCCAAGGCCCTGGGGAGCTCAGAGTTTTGGGAGATGATAAGCAGAGGAGAAAATTAAAGGCAAGAGAAGTCTGAGGAAGTCGTCAAAGCACAGCCAGGCGAACAGAACCCTGAGGAAAGGAGGTAAAAGGTAATGCTGTAAATTACAGCTTAAAAGCCTCGTTTTGGGCAAATTGCTTTTTAACAAGCAGACAAGCTCTATCAATAGCACCTACCGTATGTTTTTATAAAGTGCAGAAATATGTTTCTAAAAGGCCAGTAAATAAAGTTCCTATCGATTTGAACTCAAGTGTAATCTGTTTTTCTGTCTGCCACCAACACTGGTAATAAAGCAGAATCATGTAATACGGTATTTCAGCTAATGTGACTATACATCACTGCAGGGGCGCCCTGCTCTACAGCGATCTATCATTTTCTATTGGTATTGCTTAGCTGCAGAATTTATAAACTTGCTCCAAATTGATGCAATGTTCAATTTTCTTTTCCAATTTATTTTTGGTTGAGCCAAGCAATATTGAGGTCTCCGAGCAAGCCGCCAGCACTACCAGATGTTACCTGAAGACCTCATGCTCCTAGGGAGGAGCAAGCAGATTCAAGCCGGCGCTCACCGCCCTCAGCAGGCAGGGAGACAGAGGCCCTGGGAGCAGACAACGATGGAGAACAGGTAGCTCCTGGCCTGGGGACCCAGCAATGATTGTGCTCCAAGAGCATCCGGGGCCGAAGGGCGGAGGGTGTGGGACTATGCAGCAGAGAAGCAGCAGTGACGAGCCATCTAGAACCTGGGGACACTGTGGAGATGTAGATGCTGATTTGGTAGGTCTGCTGAGGCCTGAGACTCTGCGTTTCTAAAAAGTTCCTCAGGGTGCCAAGCTATCAGTGCATGGGCCACACTTTGGGTAGCAATTCTTCAGACCGTGAGCATCCTTGAGACATTGAGTCACAAGTCTCAGAACAGGAAAAAACCACCATGAACCAATGTGGTCCATTCCCTGATCTTCACATGGGAAAGGTACTGTTAGTTCTATGTTTCCAGCTCTCTGCTCCCCTCCTTGGGGCCTCGGCACACTGTGAGGGCACCTTTGTGGTTCTTCTCATCAACTCCCAGGGTGTCGTCCACTGACCAGTGAGTGCCTAGAGGCCACTCATGTTTGGGGACTGCCTGGCAGGTGACAGGAAGCAGCACAGTGTGGTGGCAAGAGCAAAGTTCAGAATTAGATAAGCATGGATGTGAATTCTGATTCCACTTGCTGACAAGCATGCTTCCTCTTAGGCAAGTTCCTCCAGCCTCTTGAGTCCCAGCTTCCTCACTGGTAACTGGGGAGTGAAGTTATTTCCTCAAAATTGACCCATATTATTCAATGGGATGACAGAGACACAGGGGTGTCCCACCTTTTGGAATCTCTGGGCCACACCGGAAGAAGAAGAGTTGTCTTAGGCCACACATTACATACATCATGACACGTAATCACAAAAAAATCTCATAATGTTTTAAGTAAATTTATGATTTTGTACTGGGCTGCACTCATCCATTCTGAGCTGCGTGTGGCCCATGGGCCACAGGTTGGACACCCCTGACAGAGAGAGAGCTTTCCACAACCAGCTGTTCAGAAAGGGCCATCTCCTTTTTGCATTTATTCATTATGCACTAGCCAAATGAATGAATAAATGAATACTTAGGAGACCGCTGAGACAAACACAGTATAAGTGGCTCATACTAGATTACACAGTAGAACTGAGCCAAGGCAGAAGCCTGTCTCTCTCTGGTCTCCATGACACCCCTGCCTGCTTCCTCCCACATTCTCACCTCCCTTCAGTGTAAACCAAGTGACAAGTGCATGACATGCTCATTTTGGCTTCTTGGTCTGCCACAAATAACTTACCATTCAGTGGGTAAAGCTGTTTTGGAAGCAAAGGGTCTGGGTGTGGGAATGACAGCGTGGTCGCCTCTAGCACATAGTGGGAAGTTCCCTAGACAGAACTCAGAGCTATGAAAGCAAATGTTGGAGTTACTTAGAAGGCAGTCTGAGGGAGATAACTAAGGCCTCTGTGAAGTTCACTTAGAGGGACCTGCCTCTCACACTGGGGTGGGGGGTGAGGCTGGGATTATAACTGGGTCTTTTGACTCTGACCCACCATTTTTCCAATACACATTGAAGCCTCTTTCATCTCTTAAGAAACCAAGAAAAGAGGGACTGCCAGCCAAGATGGTATCGGTAGACACACTGTGCTTCCTCCCACAACTAAAAGGACAACAAATTTAAAATAAAAAAACAACCAGAACTGACAGAAAATCAAACTGTATGGAAATCCGACAACCAAGGAGTTAAAGAAGAAACATTCCCCCAAACAGGTAGGAGGGGCGGAGATGGGCAGCTGGATGGAGTGGGCTGACAGGTGCTGGTGGCTGACAGACCAGGGGCCCCACATTTGTGAGTGGATAAACCGGGAGGAACAAGTGGGGAGCAAGATAGACTGAGCAACCCAGGGTTCTAGTGGAGAAATAAAGCCTCCAACCTCTGACTGAAAGCACCTGTGGGGGTTGAGGCAGAAGTAGGAGAAACCCCAGCCTCACAGGAGAGTTTGTTGGAGAGACCCACAGGGTCCTAGAACATACTAAAACCCACCCACCCGGGAATCAGCATCAGAAGGGCCCACTTTGCTTTGGGGGGAAATGACTGATAACCAGCAGAGAGCGGAACAAGCAGCACTGTTCCCTCTTGGACCCCACCCCTACACACAGTGTCACAACTCAGCGACGTGGGTTGCCCCGCCCTACTGAACACCTAAGGCTCCACCTCTTATTATGTAACAGATGTGCTGAAACAAAAATAAAAGTGGCCCAAATGAAAGAACAGATCAAAGTTCCAGAAAAAATACAACTAAGCAATGAAGAGATAGCCAACAGTTCAAAACTGCCTTCTAAGTGACTCCAACATTTGCCTTCATAGCTCTGAGTTCTGTCTAGGGAACTTCCCACTATGTGCTAGAGGCGACCACGCTGTCATTCCCACACCCAGACCCTTTGCTTCCAAAACAGCTTTACCCACTGAATGGTAAGTTATTTGTGGCAGACCAAGAAGCCAAAATGAGCATGTCATGCACTTGTCACTTGGGTTACATTGAAGGGAGGTGAGAATGTGGGAGGAAGCAGTTTATCAGGATGCTCCAGGAACTCTCTGGGTACTTCAGTAGCATATAAAAGACCCAGGCAGCAATGAAGGTTGCATTATGTGAAATTAAGAAAAATCTACAGGGAACCAACAGTGACAGAAAGGAAACCAGGACTCAGATCTAGGGTTTGGAGCAGAAGGAAGAAAGAAACATTCAAACAGAAAAGAATGAAGAAACAAGAATTCAAAAAAATGAGGAGAGTCTTAGGGAACCTCCAGAACATCCTTAAACATTCCAACATCCAAATCATAGGGGTACCAGAAGGAGAAGAGGAAGACCAAGAAATTGAAAACTTATTTGAACAAATAATGAAGGAGAACTTCTTTAATCTGGCAAAGGAAATAGACTTTCAGGGAGTCCAGCAAGCTCACAGGGTCCCAAAGAATTTGGACCCAAGGAGGAACACACCAAGACACATCATAATTATATTACCCAAGATGAAAGAGGAGAGAATCTTAAAAGCAGCAAGAAAAAAGGAGACAGTTACCTACAAAGGAGTTCCCATTAGACTATCAGCTGATTTCTCAAAAGAAACCTTAAGGCGAGAAGGGGCTGGAAAGAAGTATTTGAAGTCATGAAAGTCAAGGACCTTCATCTAAGATTACTCTACCCAGCAAAGCTTTCATTTAAAATGGAAGGGTAGATAAAGTGCTTCCAAGATAAGATCAAGTTAAAGAAGTTCATCATCACCAAACCCTTATTATATGAAATGTTACAGGGACTTATCTCAGAAAAAGATCAAAGATATGAACATAAAAATGACAACAAACTCAAAGCTATTAATGACCACACCTAAAACAAAAACAAACTAAGCAAACAACTGGAACAGGAACAGAATCCCAGAAATGGAGATCCCACGGGAGGGTTATCAGTTAGGGAACGGGAGGGGGAGAGAGGGGGCAAAGGTACAGAGAATAAGTATAAATGGTAGGTAGAAAATAGAGGGAGGGTAAGGATAGTATAGGAAATGTAGAAGCCAAAGAACTTATATGTATGACCCATGGACATGAACTAAAAAGGGGGGGGGGGAATGTGGGTGGGAGAGGATGTGCAGGGCGGCAGGAAATAAAGGGGGGAAAATGGCATAACTGTAATAGCATAATCAATAAAATATATTTAAAAAAAGAAGCCAAGAAAAGAGAAAGTAGAGGTTCTAAGAGTCACACTACATTAAGCCAACTTACGAGAAGTGAAAATTTAGTAGTCAGCCTATTTAGTGCTACAATTTTTGAAATAATTTCCCAAGTAACACCTTTTCTGAATTATTTTAAGTGACATGTATAGGTTACATTTTTCAAAATTTTGATAACATACATATAACATAAAATGTACCCATCCTAACCACGTTAAGTGGACAAATCAGTAGTGTTAGTACAGTCACATCGTGGTGCAGCCAGTTCCCAGAACTTTTTTCATTTTTGTGAAACTGAAACTCCACACTCAATAAATGCCGACTGCCTGTTCTCCTATCACCTAGCTTCTGGGAATGACCATTCTATTTCTGTCTCCATAAACTTGACTGCTCTAGGGACCTCATATAAGTGGAATCACACAGTATTCGTCTCTCTGAGACTGGCTTACTTCATTTAGCAGAATGTCCTCAGGGTTCATCCATGTAGTAGCATGTGCCAGAATCTCCTTCCTTTTTAAGGTTGAATAATATTCCGTTGTATGCATATGCGTATGCCACATTTTGTTTATCCATTCAGCTGTCAATGGACACTTGGGTCATTTCTACCTTTTGGCTATTGTGACTAATACTGCTCACATAGGTGTACTAATATCTTTTCAATATCCTGGTTCGTTTCTTTTGGATATATACAGAAGTGGAATTGCTGGATCATATAGCAATTCTCTTTTTAATTTTTTGAGGAACCACTGTTTTCCATAGCAGCTGCACCAGGTTACATTTACAATATATAAGGGTTCCAATTTCTTCACATTCTTGCCAACACTTGTTTCCTGGCCCCCCTCCTCCACCTCTAGTAGCCATCCTAATGGGTATGTGGTAGCATCTCACTCTGGTTTTAGTTTGTATTTACCTGACAATTAATGATGCTGAGCATCTTTTCATGTGCTGCTTGGCCATTTGTATGTCTCTGGAAAAATGTCTATTCAAGTCCTTTCCCCATTTTTTAAATTGGGATTTTTTTGATGGTTGAGTTGTAAACCTTCATTATATATTCTGAATATTAACCCCTTATCAGATATGTGATTTGCAAATATTTTCTTATTCTGTAGGTTGCCTTTCTACTCCGTTGATTGAATCCTTGGATACCATTTTGATATTGTCCAGTTAATCTATTTTTACCTTTGTTGCCTGTGCTATTGGTGCCAAGAAATCATTGCCAAATCCAATGTCACGAAGCATTTCCCCCATGTTTTCTTCTAAGAGTATCATAGTTTTAGCTCTTATGTTTGGATCTTTGATCCATTTGGAGTTATTTTTATATACTCATATGGTGTAAGGTAAGGGTTCTGGATTATGTTTCAATGCAGTTTTTCACAATACCTTTACTATCACCATAGCAATGAAATATCAATTTCAAATTCTAAAACTTAGAAGGTAATATTTTACTGAAGAGTAACAGGGACATTAATAAGAATAAAATAGGGTGTATATGAACAAGTCTACATTTCCTGGATTACATTTTTAAAGTGTTCTACATTTTTCTTCATTTCACACAGTTTTTCTGTTTGTTTTTATCATGAGGCACAGCTGTATTACCTTAGACAAGATACTTACTTCTCTGAGCCTCAGTTTCCATATGAGTAAACTGGAGAAAATAGTGTCTCAGCCTTGTAGGGCTGTGATGATTAGTGAGATTCAGGAGGAGAGTATGTGCTCACGGAATGTTGGTTCCCTTGGTCTCTTCGGCCTCTGAGCTCTGCTCCACATCTTCACCCTGAGCATTCAGCCCTTTCTTCTTCGTGACGGTGTCACGTAAACATCAAGTGGCTTAAAGGTTCGTCTCTACCAAGAAGCTTCCCTGACTCAGGCTAATCATTCTCATCTTTCCTTCCTCTGAATGACCTTGACATACAAATGTGGCCCTTTGGCTTCCCCTAATTTACGATTAGGGGAATAAGCAAGACCAGAAGAGGAAGCCTGTGTTCTGCTTCAGAAACTGGTCTTGACAGGCAGTGGGAGTTCAAATGAGAGGCTGTTTGCCTGCAGGTTGTGTAATTCAATGGTTTAAGTGAAGGCTGAGGAACCCAGAAGATTCCAGGCTAAATGATGGCTCCAGTGCCTACTTAATTTAGAATTAGAATAAATTCAGGTTTCCTGGGCTTCAATCTTTATAGCCTGAAAATGGGCATGGTCCTGACTGGTGTGGCTCAGTTTTTGGGTATTGTCTCACAAAGCAAAATTCCGCTTGTTCAATTCCCAGTCAGGGCACATGCCTGGGTTGTGGGTTCGGTCCCCAGTTGGGGTGCATGTGAGGGGCAACTGATTGATGTTTCTCTATTGCATTGATGTTTCTCTCTCTCCCTTCCTTCTATCTAAAAATAAATAAAATCTCCTTAAAAAAAGAAAGAAAATGGGCATGTTTATACACCACTGTGCTATTAATAAACAATAGTTTTAAAAAGCACTGAGACATTATGCTTTGCAAAGGCAAAAAAAAAAAAGAAAGAAAAATGAAAAGAAATAGAGAATTTTAAATGGTGATTACTCCAGGAATTCTTGACTTTTAAAAATCATAGAATCCTAAAGAGAATTTCTAAAAACATGGACTCCAAAAAATATTTCACAGAAGTAAATTTGCAAATAATTCAGTAGGTTGTGGTTTCCCCCGGGCCTCCAGACTATCACTGAACCCCAGGTGAGGGTCATGCTCAGCACAAGCAAGTGTGCCATCAGTGAAACACCTGTTGGGTGTTCCTTTTGCTTCAGGGGTTGCTTTTCTTCCTTTCTAATCCCTTTCCAATCAAGCCTGGTACTTACACCAGGTTGCTAATTTGCAGGGTCACTGCTCAGACGAGAGACCAGGGAACTGTTACTAACACTGTCACCCTAATTCCTTTTGCTGATAGATATGGCTTTACACAGGGGTCCCTGTTTGTGCTGTCACCAGGTGAGGAGGATGTGAGGACCACCCCAGGGGGAAGGCCCTCCATCTCAGGGACACTTCCTTGCATTCATCGAGTGCCGCTCTCTCAAGCCCAGAGACTTCCTTATCGCCACCACAAAGATGTTTCAGATTTATAAGTTCTATATAAAGGGACTATTAACAGGACACAAGGTAAATGGGCATCCAGCTTTGTCCTGAGAATTCATGGTCCTGTGCAGTTTAGTCCAACCTCCTACATTCATCCCATTCCTGGGTCAGCCTCTTCTTTACTGAGTATTAATTGTCACTTGGCATCCTCTTCAACCACCTGCAGGTGCACCATCCTGAACTGTAGATATGGAAGTTAAAAACTACATTTCCCAGACTCCCTTGCATTTAGGGATCTGGATGCAAATTCAATTTTACCAATGAGATTCAATTTTACTCACTCAAGAAGGGGAGGTAGAGCCTGTCTTGTACTTCCTGGTCTAACACAGTTGTGGGGATGGTTAGGCTTCCCTGCAGCCAAATGCCAGTGCTGGGTGACAGCTTCATGGGTGTAGGGAGAGAGACATGGCAACAGAGACAGCCGGACCCGCGGTTTTGTCTAGTCACTGACTTCGTGGGAGCTGAGAGGCCGTTGAGAGGGTGGTAGCTTCCTGATCCCTGGATGTCAGACCATGCTGTGCTTTGAAAGTTAACAGTTCCAGGGGCAGCTTCATGTGCCCCAGCTTCCTCACAGGGAGGCAGAAAAACAGCTCCCCTGATAAGTTTGGTTGGTGGTTTTATTCCTGGGGAGTCATTCCTGAAGGCTGAAGCTAGAGCCTACTCCTCAGCCCATCTAACAATTTTGTAAGCACCCAAATTTCCTGTATAAATTACTTTTTTTCTGCTTAAAATGGCTAGAGTGTAGTGTGATTCCAGTTTTCTGCAACTAAACACTGTCTGACATAGTGTTTTGGAACAGGAAGAGGCTGCAGGTAGGGGGCTCTCGTATTTGGGGTGGGTTATCCGCCCATTTGAAGACAGATAAAAGTCTTCAGCTTCCAGCCAAGATAGAGTAACAGAGACCAGAGTTAGCCTACATTCTGAGACAATTCAAAGCCTGAACAATGTGAAATGATGGTTCTCAGACTTTGAGCATTAGAATGTGCAGGACATTGGTCAGGGAGAGAAGGGAAACAAATGAGGGGAATCGTAGAATTACCCCAGCTTACTGCCTGGACAGACTGCAGGGAGACAGAGCACAGGTGGAGCCTGACAGTCGCTCTGAGTGGAGGTGTAGCTGCAGGTCCAGGGAGGTCAGGGTGCACCGGATTCACAGGGCTGATGCAAATGTGGGGAGAGATGCCTCCAGAAATTGAAGAGCCTGTCCAGGGCTCCAAAAATTCCCTCCTTGAGCCTTCAGTTGAGTACTGACCAGTGCAAGTATGTGAGGAAACTAACTGAGCCCAGATAGTTCCAGAGAGTACCCTGGAATCCTGAAAAAGAACTTCTGAAAAGAACAGAGGGAAACATCTTTAGGGCTCACACAGGGCTAAGAAAGGTGTGTATTTCTATCAGCCGCAGTAAACAAATAAACAAACACACACCACCTCATAATTCATGGGGCAGCACTGTAGCCACGGGTTCTGTGGATTCTGAGGATTCCACCAACAGCAGGTTGAAATTATTTGAGAGAACATGTTATGTTGCTGCTGATGTGTACTATGTAGTTAGGCCTACAATAGTCACATCTGTACTGAACATGTACAGACTTTTTTCTTGTCATTATTCCCTAAACAGTACAGAATGACAACTATTTACATAGCATGTACATCACAAGAGGTATTATAAATAATCTAGAGATGATTTCAATTATACGAGAGGATGTGCACAGGTTATATGCAAATACTAAGTGATGTTCTGAAAGGGACTTGAGTGTCCTCAGATCTTGGTATCCTTGGTGGTGGGGGGGGGTCCCAGGAGCAGTCCCAGCAGACACTGAGGGATGACTGCACTGGGCAGTGGAGCAAAATTAACCTCAGAAAACAGCTGCTCTGGTCCCACCTAACAAAGTTTTAAAGCAAACCTCAAAGGGATAAAAATGTTTTTAATGAGCCCAAACCACATCCCAGAGCAAAGCTCAAGAACATTTAGAAGACTATAAATACATCTCACACCCCCCAAAAAGTAGAAATTCACAATGTCTGTTACCTAAAAAAAAAGTATGCAAAGAAGAAAAACATAGAAATCATAATGAGGATAAAAATTAATCAATAGAAACAGACCCAGAAATGATGCAAGATGATAGAAGTAGTTGAAAAAGACATTAAAACAGTAATTATAGCTGTAATCCATATGTTTGCACAGGTAGAGATGCTTAAATATCTCAGGAGAGATGGAGTACATATTTTTAAAATGTAAATTTAATTTGAAGTACCAAAAGAAAAACATCAAATCTCTAAGATGAAAAGTACACACTCTAAATGGGATTAACAGAAGATTAGCCACACAGAATAACCTATTAGTGAACTCGAAGATATAGCACCAGAAACTATCCAAAACGAAACACAGAAGAAATCACAGGGAAAAAATGCAGAATGGCACAGCAGTGAGCTGTGGGACGTCTTAAAATAGCTAAATATAGATATAATTGGAGTCCCTGAAGGGAGGAGGGAGCAGAAAGAATCTTACAAAAAAATAATGGTTGAAATGTCTTAAATCCGCAGATCCAAGAAGCCCAACAAAAGAAATGCCAAGCAAAAAAGAGAAGAACAAGAAGAACCAGAATGAGAACAAGAACACGAACAAGAACAAGAAGAACCAGAACAAGAGCAACAAGAAGATGACACCAGAGCACATGATATCACATTGCTTAAAATCAGTGATGAAGGTGGGGGAACAGGTTCCCATTACAACGCATGACAGTTGTAGCCAACATGCAGTAGCAAAAGGTCTTAATTACCCACTGTGCTTGCTTAGAGTGAAGTAGCTATTAAAGGTAAGAGTCTGATGGGCCAGAGTTGCATGATAATGGATTATGTTTGTACAACAAATGCAAAGACAGTAGAGTAGGATGCTTTCTTCTGCCTAAAGTGGAAAGATTACCCAACAAGATTACAAACTTGGGGTTTAAATTCTTGACTCAAGGCACAATCAGAAAATCAGGACCCTGACTATCCTGAAAGAAGCTCTGGTGAAAGTAGCCAGAGTGTTACATTCATGAGTTCTGTGGGGTCTTCAGGCAGCCTGTAGCTGCAGGCACAACCCAGCTGAAATCAGAAATGGAATCTGATCCTGCAGGTTGCTGAATTATGACCAAGGTTAAGTTCACAGATTCATCGGGTCTCCTGTGGGTAAGAGCACTGATTGGGAGAGATTAGGACCCTGTGAACTGGGCTACATGATCCTGATGACTGACCTCAGACCTCACTGAGCCTCCCTTTCCAGGAGAAGTGGCTCCCTCTCCCTGTTGGATAAGGCTGATCTTGCCTTGAGAGAGCCTCTGTGCTCCAGGTGCCCACCTCTCTTTGCTCCCAGTCTCTTCTAGAATCAGACGACAGCATGCCCCATAGAGACAAACACAGGGTTTGATTCTGAAACAGTACACTTCCACACCAAGACAAGTGCCCTTTAAAAAAATATTTGTTTTCTGGGAAATGTGGAGATGTAAAGGAAGGTGTTAGATTGGAGAGGGAAGTAAACAATCTCAAATTGGGCCATATTGATTAATATGGATTCTAGAGCCAAAGTGCAAGCTAGATCATCTGGGTGTGGTTCTGTTTGCTCAGCGGGTTATCAGACACCATCTGTATCCTGTAGTAAATGGAATTCAGGTGGCAGAAATTCCTGATATAATATAGAGGAAAGAATTAAAATACCTAAAGAACTATAGAAATGCTGGGGTGGATTAATGCACTTGGCCCCCCATGTGCTCCCTGACCCTGTCCCCTGAGAACATATTTTCTTCATGAGTATTCAGAGATACTTCGGTGATGGGAAGGCTGGCATTATTTTTTACTTTGTACATTTTTAGACTTTCTCTTTATCTTTGGTTTACAGCAGTTTGACCATGATAGATAAGTCTAGGTGTTTTCTTTTTGTAAAGTCCTGATTATGATTCTCTGAGCTTCTTGAATCTATGGTTTGTTGTCTTTCATTACTTTACACAATTATACAAATTCTTGGCCATTATCGCTTCAAATGTTTCTTCTTCCCTGTTCTCTCTCTTTTCTCTTTCTGGGACTCCAACTATATGTATGTTAGACCATTTTATAATGTCCCACAGTGCTTGGCTGCTCTATTTTGTCCTGTATACTCTCCTCCCTCTTTATGTGTGTTTAGACAATTTCTATTGGTCTGTCTTCAAGTTCACTAATTCTTCCATCTGCTATGTCCAATTTGCTCACATAAGCTCACCCTCAGTTCCATTTCAGGAACCTGTCTCATTTTCCTTGATGGGGGTCCTGCCTTTTTCGGGAAGCTGCCTCTAATGGGATGAGACCCAGCCCGAGTCCAGCCTAGTGGCATGGGCCCCGCTGCCCATGGGCAGATTCCTTCCTTCCAGCTCACTCACCCAAACTCCCACTTACAGCCTGCCTTTCGCTCTCCTTCCTCAGGGCAGGTCTGATATGTGGGGGAGCTGCCTTAACATTGCTGGTGATGTAGTTGCAGAGATAAGCCATGTTTCCAAAACACCACGTTCTGATGTAGAGTGAGATAAATGCCCTTAGAATATAGAGTGATGTGGGTGCCCAGAGGAGGAAGATACACTGATCTGGGGGAAGAGACAGTTACTTTAGACAACCATCGTCATAGCCAAAGTGTGGTGCAATGAAGGTCTGCACGGGGGCAATGTGTGGGTCAGGGCCAATGTCTCTTAACAGTCAGAAATGTGCCCTTGATTTTGGATTTTTTCTCCTGCTTGGCACCCCAATGGTCTATGTACCTGACGGCTGTAATGTTCAGTGGAGATATACCCAGGGTTCCATCCTCCTTGCTGACAGCACCCTCAGTTTCCTTCCACCCCTCCCCCCATGGGTTCTTGGCTGGCTCAGGCATACTCCTACACCAGCTTTCCTGACATTGTCCAGAAGGATTTTCCTGGTTCTGGATACCTGCAGAACCACATCAACCACTACTTTTCTAAAGAAATAATTTTACTTATTTTTAGAGAGAGGGAAAAAGAGGGAGAAAGAGAGAGAGAGGAACATTGACATGTGAAAGAAACATCGATAGGTTGCCTCTTGCACGCCCCCCCCCCCCACTGGGGACATGGCTTGCAATCCAGGCATGTGCTCTGACAGGGAATTGAACTGGCAACCTTTCAGTTTGTGGGATGACCCCCCCCCCAACCCACTGAACCACATCAGTCAGAGCCACATCTTCTATTTCATTTCTCATTCCTCTCACCTGTCCTTGTCTTCCCTGATTGTCCAGCAATTAAGACTCTCCCAGCCTAATTTGCTCATTGGTAGAACCAGCACTACACAGAGGTTAGGAGGCAACCATTTATTTATTTGTTTGTTTGTTTGTTTGTTTGTTTATTTTCCTAGGACTCTTTTATTTTATTTTTAAATTTTATTTTTTATTGTTTATACTGTTACAATTGTTCTTGCTTTTACTCCCTTTCCCCATCTCCATGCAACCCGATCTTCTCCCCTTTCCAAGTCAATCTCCATATTGCTGTCCATGTGCATGGGTTGTGCATAAATGTTCTTTGGTTAATCCCTTCACTGTCTTTCATCCTGCCCCCTCCCTTGCTTCCAGCAGCTGTCAGTCTGTTGCATGTATCTATGCTGTTTCTATTTTGTTCCATTAGTTTATTGTGTTCATTAGATTCCACATATACGTGAGATCATGTGTTATTTTTCTTTCACTGACTGACTTATTTAACTTAGGTCTAGCCATACTATTGCAAAAGGTAAGAGGTTTTTCTTTTTCACTGCTGCATACTGGTCCATTGTGTAAATGTTCCACAGCTTTTTTTATCCACTCATCTACTGATGGGCACCTAGACTTTTTCCAGATCTTGGTTATTTAAAAAAAATTTTTTAAAATATATTTTATTGATTATGCCATTACACTTGTTCCATGTCCCCCCTTCACTCCCCTCCACCCTGCACACCCCTCTCCCCATTCCCTCCATTTAGTTCATGTCCATGTGTCACAAGTTCTTTAGCTTCTACATTTCCCATACTATTCTTATCCTCCCCCTGTCTATTTTCTACGTACCATCTATACTACTTATTCTCTGTACCTTCTCCCCCCTTCTCCTTCTCCCACTCCCCTGTTGCTAACCCTCCATGTGATCTCCATTTCTATGGTTCTGCTCCTGATCTAGCTGTCCTCTTAGTTTGCTTTTGTTTTAGGTGTGGTTGTTAATAACTGTGAGTTTGCTGTCCTTTCACTATTCATCTTTTTTAGCTTCTTTTTCTTAGATAAATCCCTTTAACATTTCATATAAGGGCTTGGTGATGATGAACCCCTTGAACTTAACCTTATCTGAGAAGCACTTTATCTGCCCTTCCATTCTAAATGAAAGCTTTGCTGGATAGAGCAATCTTGGATGTAGGTCTTTGGATTTCATGGCCTGGAATCCTTCTCTCCAGCCCCTTCTTGCCTGGAAGGTTTCTTTTGAGAAATCAGCTGACAGTCTGATGGGAAATCCATTGTAGGTGACTGTCCCCTTATCTCTTGCTGCTTCTAGAATTCTCTCCTTCATTTTAATCTTGGTTAATGTAATGATGTTGTGGCTTGGTGTGTTTCTTCTTGGGTCCAACTTCTTTGGGACTCTCTGAGCTTCCTGGATTTCCTGGAAGTCTATTGCCTTTGCCAGATGGGGAAGTTTTTCTTTATTATTTGTTCAAATAAGTGTTTCACTGGTGGCTGTTCCTCTTCCCCTTCTGGTACCCCTATAATTCAGATGTTGTAACGTTTAAAGATGTTCCGGAGGCTCCTAAGCCTCTCCTCATTTTTTTGAATTCTTGTTTCTTCCTTCTTTTCTGTTTGTTTGGTTGTTTCTTTCTTCCTTCTGGCCCACTCCATTGATTTGAGTCCCAGTTTCCCTCCCATCATTATTGGTTCCCTGTACATTTTCCTTTATTTCACTTAGCGTAGCCTTCATTTTTTCATCTAATTTGTGACTAAAATCAACCAGTTCTGTGAGCATCCTGATGACCAGTGTTTTGAACTGTGCATCTGATAGGTTGGCTATCTCTTGGTTGCTTAGACGTATTGGCTGTGGCGTTTTGAGCTGTTCTTCTTCTTGAGCCATAATGTTTTGGTCTGTTTGTGCCTGTTAGGTATGAGGGGAAAAACCTTAGGTGTTCCCTAGGGCAGGGCAACCCAAGTCCCTGGGTTGTGATGCTATATGTGGGGGCAGGGTCAGAGAGGGAGCAATGGCATTTGTTCTGCTCTCTCTCAGATTTTGGTCCCTTCTGCCGCTTCCCACAAGCAAGTTGGGCCTTTCTGGTGCTGGTTCCTGGGTGGGTGGGCTTGTGTACATTCTAGGACCCTGTGGGTCTCTCCAACGAATTCTCCCGTGAGACTGTGAGCCTCTCCCAGCACCTCAATCCCCGAAAGTTTCTCCAATCAGTGCTTTTAGGCTTTAATTCCTGTTGCTGGGGCCCTGGGTTGCATGGTCCGTCTCACTGCCTGTCTTTTCACCTGGTTTATCTGCATGTGAATGTGTGACTGTGGTCAGCCAGCCACCTTGCGCGGCTACTGGGTCCACCTGTTGCCACCCCACGCCTGGGATCTGCCAACCGCCACCTGCGCACCTTGGGCCGTCCAGCTGCTTTTTGCTGCTGCGAACCCTCACGGCCATCCACTGACTCCATCCCTTTTACCAGTCTGGATGAATGATTCATTATTATCCTCCACAGAGGAAGCCAGTGTGGCCCCTGGGCTGTCTGTTACTTCCTCAGCCTTTCTTGTAGGTTTGGGGTATATGAGACACTGCTTATAAGAGAAAATTTGTGGTCGAACGGAATACACCATCCAGGATGGAGGGCAGGACAGGCTGGAGAGCCCTGTAGGATAATGAAGGGGTGGATTTTGAAGGTCTGAGCCCCGTGGAGGCTGCTGTACTCCAGAGCTCAGGAAATCAGAGAGTGATGGGCCTCACCACGGAAACCAAACTAGGCAGGGAAACTGAGTCCAACCAAGTCTTCCCCGGAGAAGTTTCCCTACTGTGGATGTTTCCAAAGAAGTGTGGTTTGGAAGTCCACTGTCTCTAACAAGCAGACAGCGTGGCAGTTAATACATGACCTTTAGAGCCAGCTCAGCTGGGTTTAGAAGCTGGCTGTGCAGTTCACTAGCTGGGGCAGGCTGACACCTGGTTCCTCATCTGGAAAGTGGGGCTAACAATAGCAGCTCCCTGATAGCACCGTTGGGAAGATTAAAGGGTGACAATGCACAAAGTACTTAGGACTGCACCCCACACCTCAAGTTAGCTCTCATCACACCCTACTCTCTGGACCTGGAAACGCTGCCCTAAGCAAGCTGGCCACAGACTGAGGGAGCCAGGGACCACTGGGCATCTGCCACCATCACACTTCCCCAGCCCTCCCTAACCCCAGGCCTCTTGGGCCAGCTGTTCTCTGGGAGCCTGAGGCCCGGGATGGAAGAGAGAGCGGGGACCCTGTTTTTCTGTCCGAGGGGCCTCGTGTACTTGTGTGAAGTAGTGGAACCCCCAAAAGCATTAATTCTGGGCAGGACGAAGTCTGAGCAGGGCAAAGAACTTTCTTGTGTGGGCAGCAAGCACGGTTAGCTTTCTATCGGGAAGGCTCTTTTGGTGTCCGGCTGGGCGGGGCCTGACACTGAGCTCCTGGCACCTGTGACTCACCCGTAACTGTGGTGCCTGCCGAGCAGCATGGGCGTGGGGTGGGGGGTGGTGGCACCTTTCCTCCGGAAAAAGAAGCTCTGATCCTGGTGACTTTTCCCCTGTCCAGTTGGTGACGGCTGGAGGAGGGTGTCACGCATCACACTACCCAGTGGGATGAGAAAGGGATGAAAATACTTCCGAGAAATGGCAGGACTTATGTGTGCGCTGCTTTTCATTTGTCAGAGAGCTGTCACGGGTTCCACACCTCCTGGACCACCTAGCAGCCAAAGACAGGAGGGTGGCACAGGAGGAAACGAGGGATGTGAACAGGTTGCCCGCCTCGCCTATCAGGCGAGAGACAACAGGAGGGGCCAGGCACAGAGAAAGCTGGAGAAGACGGCCAGGAGACCTGGCTTCTAGTTTGGGCTCTCTTACCACCTGCCTGGTGACCTCGCATAAGACCCTTACCTTCTCTTTGCTTCAGCTTTCTCATCTGCCAGCTGAGAATCATGAAACCCATCGCGCCAACCCCGCAGGACCATGAGGAGGCAAGGATAAGGACCACGAAGCACATAAGCAGCTCTCTGAGTGTAAGACACAACGCAAGCCATTATGGAGGTGCCTTCTCCCACCACCCCAACTGTCCAGAATGCAGCCGAGTGTCCAAAAGTGTCAGAGAAAAGACGGGAGGTGACATTTGTCAGCTCCTGCTATGGAAGCAGCTCTGCACTGTCGTGGGTCCCTTTGAGGACAAGTCTCCCTGCGTCCGCTCAACCTCTGACAGTGGTGGAGGAAGTGAGGCTAAGAGGGTGAGAAACCAGCTAAGCTGCTTAGACCCAGGACCAGGATCTGAACTCGCACCTGTCTTTCCAGACCTCTGTGGCTCATGCCCAACCTCCTGCTGCTGCTGCTGCTGTCCTGGTCCCCACCCTGACAAGGACACATACGGCCATCCCATACATGTCACAGGGCTCACAGGCTAAAACGTGGGCGCTCACCTGACATCCTCATTCTGAGCCTATTTACCCTTAGTTTAGAAACAATTCTAACTTACATACTGGCTTCCCCATCCTGCCACAGATTAAGAGGGACATAAGGATACTAATCGTCTCTGACAGTAGCAAGAAATGACAGATGATGGGAGGGAAACAAATTTTTAAAATAATCTTAGCAGTGTTGGGTGGTTTTGTGTAGAAGCAAATAACCCTACACATTTCTTTGGTCCCTACAGATACTGCTTGTGAGTGATCTAAAAAAGTCTGCAATTCCTCATGAAAATAAGACAAACCTACGTTCCCAAGACAGAAGAAAGTCTCCACGTTGGACGAGGCAGCTCTGATTCCTGTGCCCCAGGTCCACTCTCCCCTTCCCGAGCCCCTGTCCTGGGCACCTTTGCACCTTCACACGAGAAGCAGAGCACCAAGAACCTCGGCGTTTGTTCTCCGTCCCACTGTGGAATGCGAGGTGCGCCTACACGCTCACTGAAGACTGAGGCCCAGCAAAAGGAAACCAATGAGGAGAATACACGGAACAGGGGACCTGGTGCAAAATAGCCATTTGCTTATCATTTACATAATCAGTAAACTCTGACCGGGCACCTGCTGGGTGCCCAGGGCTGTCAGTTGTGGGGTTGACTGACCCTCTGCGCCATGTTGGAGCTACCTAGACCCTTGTAGGGGATGTGCTGTGTTCACCTGTCCTGGTCCTGCCTGCCTTCATGTGGCCGAAGTCGTCGGCAGTACCACCTGCCTCTCTGCATCTTCCAACACCCCGTGGCTAACAAGGAACGCTAACAAGGAACGCACACTTTGTCTCTGTCCCCCGGGGAATCTCCGGAGTGCTAAGAGTGTCTTTTGTATGCTAATGAGACCCCTGGGGGCTGGGGGTCCTTGGACTGCTGCAGGACAGGGCTGGTCCAAGGCATGAGTAGGGAGTCGGTGCCCTCAGCCCCACCCCGGGCCTCCGGGGAGGGCAGAGGGGCTAGAGATTGAGTTAACCCCTGGGGGTCAACGATTTAATCAACTGTGTCTTCGTGATGAAACCTCCATAAAGACCCCTGAACAACAAGTTTCCAGGCTGGTGCACACAAGGTGCTGGGTGGGGGCTGGTGACTCCCAGGGAGAACGTGGGTGCCCTGGCGACCCCTTCACCTCATCCTCGGCTGAGCTGTCCCCCTCATAATAAGCACAGTCACAGGCAAACTTTTCCTGAGCTCTCCCAGCTGTCCTAGCAAACTATGGAAACTGAAAGGGGGGGTCAGAGAGGGGGGTGCCCTGGGCACCCAGCACTTGAGGCTGGCATCTGAGGTGGGGGCGGCCTTGTGTGAGTGAGGCCTTGTGTGAGTGAGCCCTCGTCCTGTGGGGTCGGGCACCAGCCCGGGCAGTCCCCGTGAGAATCGAACTTCAGGACCCTGTGTCAGCAGAGGACACCCCCGAGTGGCCGGCGCAGCCTCTGGAGCTCCCACCTGCTGTCCGAAAGGGCTGCGAGCAGGGGCGCCCTCACTGCGGGCGAGGCTGGACCTGCCCACGGGGGTCACGGCCCAGCTCAGCTGCCGCGGCACAGACAACAAGGGCTCGCCCACAGCCAGGGCACCCTTCTGCGACAGATGTGGACAAGGGTGACACGGGCCATTTAACAGATCTTGACTTATGTTTGTTAGACGGTGTAAGGAGGCAGGACCGTACGTGATCAATGGCAGAGAAGCGGCCGTACAGAACAGAGTTAACACGAGGAATCTGAGCAGGTACAGAGCCGGGGTCAGTTAACCAGAAGCTGAGGCGGGAAAGAACAGCTCACTCCCCAGGGAGGTATTACTGTATTGCCATCACTTCCTTAACAGGCCACCCCAAGTTCCCCGGGTCCCTGGTGACCTTAGGATGAGGCAGCGCGTTCCCACAGGCGCGTGTGACCCTGCGGAGGACGCGACAAACCCATGCTGCTTCATCAGGGCCTGATGCCTTCCTGCCACTCCCCCAGCGAGAGCCTGGACACTGGGCTCTCACCGCAGCTCTGCACCAGCCCCAGCCTGGGTGGCGCTGAGCTCAGGTCTCTGTCCAGCTCCTGGCTCTGTCAAAGGGGATGGAGATCCGTGCAGCTGTCCTAGGGTCAGGAACGCTCCTTCTCTCTTGGGAAGCATAGGGTCCTGATATTTCACAGAGGTTCAGAGAGCCCTGCTCTATAAACGGACAGGGCAGTTTGCAAAGGCAGCACCCAGGACCCCAGCTGGAAGGAAGCCGCGTGGGACACAAAGTTTCCCAGTAGAACAAAAGTTCCAAACTCAGGGGCCCTGGATCCTTCTAGGCGGCCCCAGGTTTGCATGTGCTGTGGCTGGAGCCAGGGTGGGCGCTGGACTTGGAACCTTTCTCGTTTTATTGCACAGACCTTCCAAGCAGAGATTTTGTAGCCTCATGGGCCTGAAGGAGACACTGGAGGCTCAAGTGAGGTAGGCTCAGCATGGCAGCAACGCTTCAGGCACAAATGCCAGGGACAGAGATATTTCGTCTCTCTCTCAGGGCGCCTTACACTGTGGTAGCTTGAGTGGGCAGAGCCACGCCGGGAGCTCCGAACTACCAACAGCAGGATGCACTTGCCTGCTCTCTGAGAGGCAGCCGCAGCTTTGTGAGCCGACACACAAACTCGAGGACCACACATCCCAGCTTTGTCACTCACTGGCTGTGTGACCGCAGCCAAGTTGTTTACACTGACCCGTGCCTCAGCCTACTCATCCGTAAAATGGGCATAATAATGACGGTGAAGAGATGATGGGTTACTATTCCTGAAGTGCTGGGAAAGGTTGCCTGGCACATGTCAGTGTGTGCTAAATAAAGCAAAATAATCCGGCAAAGGCAGGGGATTTAAAAGATGAGACATTTCCAATAAATGTCACGGAGGCTCATAGGCGTGGATTCTCGCTCACGCTGACTCCTCACCCCACAGGCTGTGTTCCTGAATGGGGCCTGCAGGGAGGGAGTGCACGAAGGGTTAACCCCCAAGTGAGCGGAAAAACAAGTTCCATCTGGTCGCTGGGACAAAGCGACAGCCTGCAGAGCCCCCAGCCCGGGCTCCTGCTCAAAGGACACATTGCTTTTTAAAATTCCAACTTGTGGCTGCCTCGGTCTATAAATCAACCAGCTCTCCACACCCGGAGCTCCGAGCAGGATTCACAAATGGCAGCAAGACATTCGCGTTGCAAGTGCAGGCATTTGAAAGTGGCGTGGCACTCCGGTGCCCAGCCCCCGGCTTCCTGAAGGGCCAGTGGCTGGCGCTTCGCCCTGTGGCCCCCCCTTCAGGGCAAGGATTGCTCTCTAGGTGGCAAAGAGAAGGAAGGGAGACCGAGCAAATGACCAAGGCTCACGCTGGGACCGTGACTTTGTGCAGATGCCCCTGGGAAATGACTGCTTTTGAGATCAGCTGCCCCCCCCATCTTTATCATTGATGTAAAAGGAACCATAAAGTCATTTGCCCTACCTCCCCACACCACAGCTGGGGCCCCACCTTTAGGTTCTAGGCTGGGAGAGGGCAAGGCTGATGAATGTCAGGGAACCGCCGAACACTCCACCCAGGTCTGGGGGAACCTGCAGAGAAGCAGTGGGTTTCCTTTCGGCTCCCCAGCTGACCTGTGCAGGGGGCAGCCAGTGCCCCGGCATCACCGGTGGGACACCAGACCCCTCTGTATCCAGAAGGGGCGCATGAGCCTGAATAAAACCTGGGGCCCTCCTGTGGACCTCTGCTTGAGGCAGGGACCCTCAGTTTTTACCGCCCCCCCACAGGCAGGTGCCCAAGGCTATGCCTGATAAGGCCGAATCTAGCCCTGGTGCCCACAGAGCAGGGAAGTAATTCACAAAAAGTTGGGCAATTCAAAGTTATAGTTTCCACAGCAACCAGCGCTCAGACCATTTGGGTAGCTGAAGCCTTTTCCTCTTAGCATTAACTTCTTTCTCCCCAAATAGCATTTTTCCTGATAATTAAAGTAATACGCAGTCATCGGAGAACACATGGAAATTACAGACAAGTGTAAGAGAGAAAAGAAAACCCACCCTCAGCCCCGCCACTCGAGGTGGTCTGGTGTCCGTGTTTCAGTGTGTTCTCTGTGTGTCTGTGTTTTGGCATGCGTGCCCCAAAAGATACACTATTTAAACATTGAGACTATAGTGAAAGTACTATTATATCACTTGGTTTCTTTACATATTGTGAACCTTTCCAGTCTTATATATTCCTTGAGAACATGACTTTTAATGGCTACATGGTACTTTCTCATGGGGATAGAACATCTTCTACCTAACCAACTTATTGTTGAATGTTTCGCTGGTTATTCTTTTTTCTTTCACTATTTTAAATAACACTAACATGAGCAGCCTTTTACATACATTGGCAGGTATGCCTCTGATAAAGTAGTCAGGTTAGAATACATTCACAGAACTAAAATTACTCTTCAAACACCATGACCGACTATGCTAAGGATTTTAATCCGTGTTATCGGAATTAAAATCCTCTGGAAAGGTTGAAACTATTTGTGCTCCTACTGGTCATGTATACTCTCAAATCAAACAAACAAGAGATCCAAAAAACAAAGTGCAAATTCCGTTGATTGTAAATAAAGTCTATACTGTTTTTTGAATTCCATTCTTTGAGTTACAAACAGAACTGAGTTTCCGCCTGCCCATGTTTTTAATGAGCTTTCTTCTTCCTACCATCACCTCTCAGCATCCTTTGCCCTCTTCCTCCATGGGGTGTTCATCTTTTCCTTATTGATTTATAATTGCTTTTTATGTGTAGAGATAATAGTCCTTTGCCATATTTGTGGCACATATGTTCTCTCAGTTTGTTGTTGGGTTTTTATTCCTTTATGGAATTTTTAAAGTGCAGAAGTTTCAAATGCTGTTGTGAACCACACCCATCCTTCTTTTCCTTCGTGGCTGTGCCCTTTGGTTTTGAAGCCTAGGCAGACCTTCTGCACCTGGACGGCAGGCAGATCAGCGTTTGCTTGTGCGTTGCTTTTCCAGTCATTCGATGGTTTTTTGGTTATTGGATTTATGCTGACTGCTCTGAATGAACCATCGACCTTTCACGTAGGGTGCGTCCCGCATTTGCTTGTCTAAGGGTCCTGAGGCTGGAGCGCACGGGGCCGGGTCAGAGGTCATCGCCCAGGAGGTGCGGGAATTGTCCCTCAGAGCTGCCCCTGCCTTTCAGCAGATCTCAGCCTGGCAGGCACATTTACACAGGGCCCTGGGCTTTTGCTATGAATGGAAGAAATGAACAGGGAGGGGGAAGTAGCCGTTCCAGGATTCCATGCTGAGAAAGGTACACCTCACGTGGCCGTGTTTCCCGTCAGAGCCGGGGGAGGGGGAGGTTGTGGAGTGCCAGGTGTGTGGAGGGCTGGTGAGCGGCTTCCACCTCGGCACGTTAGACAGACGTCAAGGGATTGGATTCCAGTCTGACATTAACATTTTTTCAATTTGTACGATGAAGAACTACAGGCAGTTTTGCTGGCATTGTAGATTGCCAAATACCAGTTTTTCGTGCAGACGCACTGGGGGAAGAGGAAATCTGGGACTTTAGTGCCCCAGAGATGTGCATCTTCTCTCCAGTCCAACCTTCCCAAGGGGCCCCAAGAGTTGCTAGGTACCAGGTGGGATGGTGGGACCCTGAGCAGAAGGTGGGTGCCTCTGGCCACCCTCGGGGAAGTCACTGTCACAGACTGACCCCTCTGTCCAGCCTCAGGAGATTACTGCCTTCCATCATCCTTATTTCAATCCAGGCCCCAGAACTTTTTGCCCGGGCTGCTTGCCCAGTTTCCAAAGTCAGCTCTGCATGTACTAACAAGGCAAGGGGTTTGTTCATCTATCTTTTAGGTTGACTGACCGTCTGCTATCCGCATAGCCCCGTGTCCAGCCTTGTGCATCTATTCCTTTTCAACCAGGGATGAAATATTTCCCTTCTAGTTCCTCCTCTCCATTATCTATTTTTAAAATCCCTAAAAAAAAAAAAAAAACCCACTCTACAACATGCTA